GGACCAGGTAGAGCTGGTCACGATACTTGATGGCCTTGCTGCGGGTCATCTTGTGGACTTCGACCGGCTTGAGGCCGTTCGCCTTAATCTCGTCCATTAAGGTGGTGGTGTCCATGTCGTGGAGCCCGCGCAGCACCACTTTCAGCGGCTTGGTGGCCTCGATGTCGTGGGAGAAGTACTCCAGCTTCATCCTGTCCAAGAGGGCCTGGACTGCGTTGTAGTGATTTTCGGCCGAGACCATCAGTTTGTAGCCTTCCGTGCACCGTTGAATGGTGCAGCGAAGGCCCTGCTTAATGTAGAAATCCAGCTGCTCCCATAGCCCGGGAGGTAAGCCCTTCACATAGAAGGGTGGCAACTTAACTTTTTTCGGCACCGTCTCAGGGTCCGACTGCGGCTGGGCTCCGTTCTGCAGGGCGGAGAACGGATTGTTGCTCAGCAGCTTTTTTGCTGCTGATAGGGTGGCGCTGCTGTCTTCAGGTCTGGGTCGTTTAGTTCCGGGAGGCCCCGGCTGCGGGTCCGCAACGCCTGTCGGGATGGGCAATGGGGTTTTCTTCTGCTTCTTCTGGGCTGGCTCGGTGGTCGCGCCGTCTCCTGGGAGAGTCTGTTTTCCCGGTAAACCGGCACTCGCGTTACCGCGCGATTTCTTACCCATGGCTGGGTCAGCGAGAGCGTCACTACACAACGCGGAGCTAATTCGACTTGCGAACGAACGAACGAAACTAGAGAGAATTCAAATCGACTGAACTGCTCAACAGTCTGGCAGCGAATCTCATGATGATGAGTGAGGCTAGACAGCAGCGCTCTTTTATATCTTTTCAGGTTAAAGCAGAATGATGTGCAACCAAGTGGTACTCGATTTTGACGACTGGGTTTGGGAAGAACGTTTATTTAATGAAAACAGTGATAAAATTACCACTTTTTACATGTACATTGGACAATGCTTGACATTAACATTTTTTATAGTTTCTTGTTAAACATCATTGGTTTTAAGCAATTGATGAAAGCAATTGATGCGTCGAAATATTTCTGATCGATTGGTGATAAAATTATTAAAATTGGTCCAGTGGTCGGTAAGTTATTAATGTTCAAAATCTTTCATAATTTTGTTTTTCACAAAGTGTACCCCCATATAGAAATCACAGACGTAGTCCTACGTCAAAAGACCTGCTTTTAATGAATTGAACCTAATTGGAGTTGGGAATCGTACACAGCGATTAATAAAAAGAACAATTACGATTTCACGACCAAGTTGAAATTAGTTCACTCATATTCTTGAAAACGTAGTTAACTCATAGACTGATTAATACTTTCCGAGCTTTAGCAGGAATTTGTTTTCTAATATGAGAAACATGTCAATGTACACATGCAATTAGTACGCGGAAAAAAGTTTTCATGTAGTTTCCATTGGGAATGCACATAATATTTTTTCATTAACAAAACCAATGATATCTATCTGAATTTCACATAACATTCATGTGATCACATGAGTTGTATATGATAAATCACTTAAATTTCATTTGACACATAAGGTTCATGTGATTTTGTGGTGCAATTCACAATTATGATATCACAAGAAAGTTATGTGGAATTCTTATGAAAATTTTCCATTGGATATGTGATTTATTCTTTGAGTGTATACTTCTAGAATGAGTAAATTTTTCGTCGATTTTTCTCATATTTGAAAAAAAAATGGAAAGGCTCGGAAAATTTTACTCAGTCTACAAGTAAACTACGTTTTCTGGAGTTTGAGTAATTTAAACTTAAATTTGAGTCGATCATATATGCCATGTATTGTGGAAATCTGTTAGTCACTTAGTACTAGTCCTTTTGCACGCCAGCAGCGGGGGAACGAGCACGTCTTAGTGAGAGATTCAACTTTCCACCACCTAAATATGGAGAAATCGACAATCCTAAGAGCAATTTATAAGCTTATTAATACGATTCTAAACACTTCGCGCTCAAAAAGTGTTTATGAAACAGGATCAGGGTTTCTGAAACGATTCAGATAGATCATCTAGAAATGGAGAGTACTGGACAACGAAGCCAAGTACGATTAATTGGCGCTAAACACTAACACTGTAGAAACGATTTTACAAAAACAGTTTTGATATAAGATATATCAAGCAACATATTAATTACATAATACGTATGCCATAAGGTACGTAGCATCCTGGAATACGCGGCCTCTGTCTGGACACCTTATCACGCATCGCTGATCATCAGAGTCGAAAGAATTCAGAAGGTTTTCACTCGATTCGCGCTGCGCAACCTTCCATGCAACGACCCACTAAATCTGCCTGACTACACTGCACGCTGTATGCTGATTGATTTGGAAACCTTACGTGCTAGGCGCACAAACACTCAGCAACTAGTTATTTTCGACTTACTGCGTGGCAACATTGATTGTCCTCAACTACTAAGGGAGAACAGCCCATAATGCACCCCTGGGGTAAAATGCCCACTTTTAGAAAAACAGCGATAACTTTTCCTCAGATGCATTTTCCGGGTAACGGTTTGTGATTGTTTTCAACTGGAGGTTTCACAAATAATTCTTGATCATAAAATCATGTATTGATCTGCTGATTCCTTAAAAAAATTACATTTTGTGCAAAACAGGACACAGTTGTTAAAATCATCGACTGTAAATTAAGCTTTTAACATCATATATCACAAAAAAAAATAACAAATTTACGTTTCGTATATTTTTTAGATATTTTACTTGATGAATCACAGTTTAACATTCTATTGAGATTTTGAGACCTTATTTCTGATGTAACATAAAGAAATAATCATTTGAAATACCGCATCCCTTTGCATTATCTACTTGCAGGGGTTATGGTTTTTTTTACCATGGGGTGCATTTTACCCCAATGTTGTGGTGCGTTTTGGCCATTGTTGTCGTGCGTCTTGTCCCAATGTTGTGAAGCATATTGCATCAAGAATCAGGCGTTTTACCCCGCTATCATTTTGGAAGCAATTTAGAAAATACCTTGAAAGTCATGGAAAATCATGCTTTTGTAGTTCTAAATCACTCGATCTTTGTAGAAAACATAGTAATGAACCGAACGCCATTACTTTCTTCTTGATTTTAGCTTCCATTCGCCAGCCATTGACGATTTTGCTTAAAGGGTGCGTTTTGCACCATCCTACCCTACAGGATGTCCCTTTATACGTTCCACCCCGACAGTTGAGGAGCTCACAACTTGTCGCTGTGCCGGCTCACCGGACTGGTTACGGTTTCAACAATCCATTCGATGCTTGTCTGCGAGCTTTTAACTATACAAACGAGGATTTCGATTTTGTGATTAGCAAAAGTACTTTTAAAAATAGGATTTAGATTATTAGGTAAAGTAGTCTGTACGATTTTTATTTTTTATCGAAGATGAAACAACAAATAAATAAATAAATATATTACCATAGCAACAGTTGCACATTCTTGCAATTTTCAATAGTAACCAGATTTAGCAGATTCGCATATGAAATTTCAATGGATTGGCTCGTTTAGAATTAATCTCCATCCGCTATGGACAGAGCTATAAGTGGTCAAAACCGGACCACTTTTCGTAACGCGGTCGCGGTTGAGTTTTTGTACCCCCAATATGTTGCCGAAAGACGTAATCCTACGTCAAAACGAGAAATTCGATCAAAGATCAATCAAATAAATTAAACGCACTTATCATCTAATTGCGTACAGTTCGGCTTTGGAACACTTTATTTTACATGATATGTTTGTTTGCGTTCCTTGATTTACTTTAAAGATAAATTACGTTACGAGTAAAAATAGTTATCGCTAAGTAGGTATGCACTGCAACCAGTAATTTGATCTTTTACTATACTAATATTGAACCGAATTTGAAACTATTGTCATTCTTTCTCTGGAATTTAACTCAGCCATTGTTGCCCAGCTGATCAACCTTCATATCAAAAGTAAGGCAGTTTGCACAACCTTTCTCAGCTGCAGGAATGGTAGAAACGTGAACAGTTGTATGCTTTGGCAGCATATCCTCGCATGTACATATGTGCCATGCTTCGAACAATAGTGGTGGCGGAGAGTGACTGATGAAAATTGATTGAAATTGTATAAATTTTTCATAATCAATATTGATTTGCTGTCGCTGTGGAGGCAGATTGGCGAGATATGAACGGGTGTAACGGAAACAAAGGCAGAGGATGGTTATTTGCAGCGCACTTGTGATTTTAACGCTTTTATTATGAAAATAAAGGGGGAGGGCATTCCACGGATCGTGAACTGTGCCATATGAAAAATGTCAATATTATTGCTTTATGGTGAATGGGTCAATCTACATGTTTGTAATATCCAACCGGAAAATGTAGGATTCTCAAACAGTTATATTAAGATGTACTGTGGAGGACGGAAGTTTGTTCGAAAAAATTGTAATAGATATTATTCATTCCAAAAATGTAGTTGTTTTACAATAACTGAAATAATTTTCAAAGGCCGTTCCCTATGTCTGATATCAGCTTAAAAAGTACCGCTGGGGGACATTTTCCCAAACACCCCAGATGCCAGTAAGCAATTCAACTCTCAGGTTGCACCAATCTATTTTCAGAACACACGGAACCATAAACATCTCCATTCCGGGGGGAGATTGTGTCCCACCACAATCGCAATTTCTCTCTCCGACCTTACTGCTCACCGCATACAAACGCGCGCGGTTTCTTCCGGCCCGTTCTGCCAGCCAGGCAGTAGTGCAATCACACCTGTAAGCGTGGGAAGGCCCGGTTCTCGTTCATTGGTTTCTGATTTTTGGAGGGCAATAAATTTCCTGCTAGCTTTCAGCCCGTGCTCGGGGAAGGCGTAACTTTGCTCACCGAATCACCCGATCAATGGAGCAACTTTCCTAATACCGTGGCACAAAGTCCACTCCTCGAGCTGGGTGGTTCGAAATTTGAGTGTGCTTTATGGTGCGTAACTCTATAAACTACAATATGTCCTGGTGGTTTTTCGAAGCCTTACGGAAGGTGCTGATGGTTTCGAGTAAATGACTTTGCTTTTATTGATCTTCCAGTTGGTATTTGCTAAAATATAGAAACACTTGTTCTAGGGAGGTTTGTCCCAAGGCATAATCTTCGATTTCGAGCTCCTCCCGGGATGATTCCATCAGCCCAAACATCGCTGACCAGCGCAGACCGGATTGAGGAATGTGAAAGCTTAACGAATCCAAATACTCCTCCCTGCAAAGAACGAGAATTGTAAATACAAAGATTTGAGCTCATCAAAGATGCTCACTTTAATACTGCTCCGGTGAACTTCCAATCAACGAATTGCTTCACCTTATCTACTCTCTTTCGAAGATCTCCGGAAGGTTCCCGCTTTACCTTCATGGTCAACAGGAATCCCTCGGAGAACTTATTCTTCAAGTGCTGCGTAGATCCCAAACACTTGAACTCTCCATTAACCATAATGGCCAGTCTCGTGCACAGTGCTTCGCACTCCTCCATACTGTGCGAAGTCAGCACAATGGCCTTCCCCGCTTCCCTAATCTTACATATCACATTCCAAAACTGTCGCTTAGCCCCCGGATCCATCCCCGTGGTAGGCTCGTCCAAGTACACCACCGCCGGATTGCCCATCAGTGCCAGCGCCGTGCTCAGCTTCCGCTTGTTTCCTCCGCTGTACTCCTTCGTCTTCTTGTCGATGTGCTTCATGAAGTTCAACTCCTCCGCTAGCGTTATCGAAACGCTGTTCAACTCAGCGTCCTTCACGCCGCGCAACAATGCAAACATCTTGAGAGTTTCCCTTCCGGTCATATCCTCCAGCAAGGCATCGAACTGGGGACAGTATCCGATTTGTTGATGAGCTCGGTTCATATTCGTCTGCAGACTGATTCCGTTGACCCAAGCCTGACCGCTGGAGATACTCTCATCCCCCGTCATCATCTTGAACGTCGAAGTCTTCCCCGCCCCGTTGATTCCGAGCAATCCGAAGCACTCCGAATGACGAATTCCAACGGACAGTTTGTTCACGGCTCGGAATTTCCTGTAGTACTTGGACAGATCCTTCAGAACTAGGTTATAACTGTCGATTTCTGGTTGAACCATTGCGTGGATACGTTGCTGTTCAGCCAGAACATCCGAATCCAACTCCGAGACATCCCCTTCCTCGCTTACCTTGCCTCGTCGGTCGAATATTCGCTTCAACACGCGGAACTCGATCAGCATGATCAACGCAAACGCCACGATCCCAATCCCAACAAAAAACATCAAATTCCTATTGATACCTCCTTCGTCAAATGTGAAGATCTCCTGTCCACAGCACTGTGGCAAAAGCAGACACAAAAGCTCCTTCGTACACATTGGAACCAGGTCACACTGCTTCTCGCATATAGCTTCAGTACTGGCCACTCTGTTCAGATTATTCAAACTATGACACAGAACAAAGTTCGGGAAGAACATAAACACCCACTCCAACGTATTCGCCACGTTCTCCAGATCGATTCCTTCAAATTTCAGCAGAGTTACGGCAGTGAAAAACACTGTTCCGGAGATGATGTTCAAGAGCATCATCTTGACGAATCCGGTCGCAGGAACGTCAAACAGGTAGGAGAACAGATAGGTCATCGGAATGACTGCGAAACCAAACAGAACCACTACTAAGAAAACCCGACTTAACTGTTCAAAGTTTGACCAACCATCCTGCTGGATGGCAGCTACCGATGCCACGTAGAATAGACTAACGACTACGAATATCAGGTAATCCCAGAGGAAAGAAACGGTCCAGAACAGGGCAACGTTAACTCCACTGACGAACTGGAGCAGCTTAGAACGGGTGGTTCGTTCTCGGATGTAGAACATGATGTACAGGGCCGCTACGAAGGCCATCGCGAAGCCGGTGTTGAAGGCCAGCTGGAAGCCGGAGTTGGCTCCGGTTTCCAATTGATCGAAGCGGGTCATCAACTGGAACGGAAGGGGTTTGTTCGTGATCTGAATCTCGCAATCCGGGCAGGATGATTTCAGGAGGCCATTGAACAGGATGTTGATGGCTAGAGGAGCACTATGGTAGGCCTTGTTATTGAACCAAGCCGTTGGTCTAGTAGCGTTGATGGTTGCACCTACCCAGTAACGGGTGTTGACGGTTGCGATCGACTCCGTGGATTTCTGAAGGATGAAATCGACCATGTCAGCTTCGGTTACTACCAATTTGTGGTTTGGGTTGAGCTTGCTGAATAGGGTTTGATAAGCTTCGGTAACGGAGCTGTTGGACAGTTGATCTTCCAGAACGGTAACCGAATGGGTGTAGGATTCCAGTTTGATGTCCAAGGCAGGCAAGTCCCGGCCAGCCGATGAGTTTAGGATGATGATGTAGGTCATCAACACGAATACGATCGGTATGAGGATCTGCATGGAGAGGGTTATCAAGCTGCGGAAGGTGACTAGGAACTTCTTCAAGAACTGAGCTTTGATCTGGTTGAAGAGCAGGCGGTTTCCAGTTAGGAGGTGTAGGTTATCCAAGGCATCTGAGGGGTTGGGGAAATTATCGGTTTGCAAGCGTTAAAAGAATAGAGAAAAAGAACTTACATTCGTTGGTTCCTGCGTTGAAGACCGTTGAATTATCTGAAAGATTCTTCTCGAAAGAATCACTTCCAGATCGAAGAAACACCTCTTCCATGGTTGTGAATGATATTCCGAAGCTGGAAATGCCACAGGACGACATCTGGCCCTCCAGGTTCTCCAGCATCGGTTGGAACTGTTTTACGTATTCCTCTCGCAACACTAGGGATAGCTCGGTCCCGATGTCAGTCTCCACCTCTACATCAGGAATGTGGTTCCTCAAAATCTTCAGTAGTTGATCTTTATCACAGTTTAGCTCTTTTACGCAAATCAATCTATATCCTGCGCCAAAAGACTTTTTCAAAAAGAACGGCGATCCGACGGCTTTGAGTTGCCCCTCAGCCATGATGGCGATCCTATCCCCCAAAACATCGGCTTCGTCCATGAAATGCGTAGACAAAAGTACAGTCCTGCCTAGCTTCTCCTTCTGCAGCAGCTCCCAGAGAGCTCTCCGTGCAGATGGATCCATTCCTGAACTCGGTTCGTCCAGCAGAACCACCTTGGATCCTCCACAAAGTGCTACCCCTACAGCCAACTTCCGTTTCATACCTCCGGATAGGGTATGAGACTGAGCGTTCATCTTGTCTGCCAGCTCCAACAAGTTTACGTATTTCTCAATTTCCGACGTGACATCTTTGTCACTCACGCCTTTTAATTTGGAAAAGAACTTTACGTGCTCGGCGACAGTCAGTTCGTTGAACAGGACATTGTGCTGCGGGCACAAGCCCAGCGATAGCCGAGCTCCTTCAATATCTGTTCGGATATCATGTCCGTTGATCAATGCCGTCCCGGAACTTGGCGAAAACATTCCCGTCAACATGGACATGGTGGTTGTCTTTCCTGCACCGTTATGCCCCAAAAGGACTGTAATCTGATCCTCGTACATGTTCAAATCCAGACCTTCAACGGCCACCTTCTTACCGTACACCTTCCGCAAGTTCCGAATCCGGATGCCCGCTTGCTCGATGGAAGGTTCTTCTTCGATGAATTTGGACTGTACTGATTTAACAACGCCATTCTGTCCAACATATTCGTCACCGACTTTGTTCCTCTTCCAAAACTCCCTGGTGAACAGGAAATACCACGGTTTTGCAACGCCAAATTCCCCGGGCATGATCTGTTCGAAGTACAGTGCGATCCCTAGATAGATTAGCGCATCAACCAGCATCATTACCATCACCACTCCAACGCTTAATCCATCGTTCATGGTTGACGGCGAGAATAGATTGTACCACTGCAGTCCCTCCTGGTTGCCTTCGAAGCGGACAATGTTCAACACTCCGTACGACATGGCCGTATTTGAAAGCAGACACAGCCCGATCTTGGACCCCGTTTCCATGTCGTCGTAGTTGCGAACCGTGATATTGTACGGCATCATCAGCAGGAACCACATGAGCCCAGCAATTCCGGCTGCCGTGTTTGCTGCAAAATAAGGGAGTTATTTGATGCGGGTTTATTTAGGAACCACAAAAGGCGTTCACCTTTGTTGAAAAACACGCTCATCATGAAGCAGAAGCAGATGGTTGCGATGGAGAATGCCAGCAGGAACAGCCATAGAACCGACCAATCGGTGAACTGAAGGACCGCTTGATCCGTGTTGGTCGTCAGGTTGGCGGTCATCAGAAGTGTTACCAGAGAGATGGTGATCAGCAGAAGAAGCAAGCAGCGGACGAACCAAGCTGTCCAGTGCAGCCAGTTTGATAGACCCATGATCTTCATGGCTTCCTTGAGCTGGCGTTCCTTCTCGATGGTGATGTACTTAACCGTGTTGATGCAGGTGTAGAAGAAGGCAATCAGGATGATCAGCGGCAGCAGCTGTTCCATTGCCGGGAGGAGTTTGTCCTCGTGGAACGGCGGGTAAGGGATGCGCTGGAAATGAGTACTGGGATGATGCCTCTGCAGATAAAGGTGAGGGTTTGCAATGAACTTACCCTTAACCGGACTTCTTTCGTATTGATCTCCGGGTCATGAACTGCTACGATGGCGGCAGACAACGCAGTCTGCATCCCGATGAATCCCTCGTTGTAGTAGCTGGGACCGCCACCATCGCTGAAATCCTTGTTACGGATACCGGGGGAAAACGGTACTACAAGCAGGTTTGTTCTCCAATTGCCAAACAACCATCTCCACTGTCTCGTTTCCGCTGGAAATCGCAACGAAAAGTGGATCCTCTCCGGAAGCGTTGTGATGTTCTGTAGAAATAGGAAGCAATCAAAAATAAGGGGCTGGGGGAGGGTATGGATCAAAGTAGTTTACCGCTAAGTTATCGTCAAACTCAACTCCTACGAAGTAGTTCTGCTGGACTAGCAGACCCTCGAGGTCCCTTGAACTGGCATAGCTCTCAAGCGAGAGGGGTGTGGTGCTAAAGAAGTGGTTCTCCAAGGTATCGTTCATTAAGGCCTCCAGAACGTCATTCTTTGGTGAGTATGCTACTCTGGGGATAACCGGTGGTGTTTGAAAGCTGTAAGAAACTTGAGCTAGGAAACATGACTTCTACTTGGATTATCGAAATAAATTACTCTAAATTGGAGTAGGAGTTCGCTGTCAATGGATCGAAAATCGTTGGATTGTCAATCTTCTTCGGATCCACCAATCCTCGCACCAAAATGAGCATTGAGCAACATAGCACCGGTATCAGAATTTCGAAAATCGTCTGTATGTAGTGCCTCTTCTGGATGGTCCAGTTCTTCCACAGCAGCAACTGTAATTTATTCCAGCTGCTAGTCATCTTCCTTCCGGTGTTGACTCACAAAAGGCAGATACTGGAAAATTTGAACACATTCAAGCCGTTATCAGCAGCTACACGGTTGGCTAATTTTGCATGATGTCGTCGCTCGTCACTATCAATTTCCCACGCCAAAGAAACAAACAAACAAACGTCGGGCACTTCAGTTGTTCGGAACCGTTCGTGGGGAAGCAGTGCCAAATTTACGCTATCAAACACACTTGGATGATAAGACAAATTTTCTGCTGAATCACTGACCTATTCCTTCCCGGAGGGAATGCTGTCGTCTCGCACTTGCTGTATCACACTTTCATCAACCCCAAAAGTTAACGCGACCACGATGCCGGAAATCAAATATGCAACAGTTACGAACTGCCTAGTGTAGGACCACAAAAACAGAAATCGATTGAAATGGGTAACCGGTGATGGCAAGGACGCGACGGAATGGAATGGGTTGTGAAGGTCAACACCGGTGCTGACCGACAACGACGATGGTGGTGACGCACCGAGTGTTAGCAATCGACTAAAGAGCTATTTGTGCTGGTTACATACTAGATGGTTCGTTCACACTTAGAATAGGTCGGTAAATGAACTACATATATGCGACGGTTGATGATGCACGCGACGCAGATTACCGCTACCGACCACATTGCGTTATCAATGATAATGAGCGTAATCAAAGTGTGCGTTGGATATAGGGGAAAGGCCGGAGAAGGGAATGGCACGAAAAGGTGATATTTGGTGGTATATTTACTAGGGTGGTTCAAAATATCGAATTTGGTCCACCAAGCTCAATCGAATTCAAAGCAGGCCCTGGTAATCGGATGCGAACTCATACTGCAGTTTAGATGGGAATTACTATGAAAAAAGTGAACTTTTGCTCTCATCGTTCCAACTCTTGGCTGTAAAGATTTTCGGAAAAGTTTGCTCTCTTTACTTATGTGAAATTTTCCCAGCTGTAACTTTGCTAAAGACAGCATTGAACGTCAGGATAATTCAGTGCCAACATTTCAAAGGGGCGTAATTGCATATGTAAACAATGGCTTTAGGCGTCGATTTCTCGCAACTAAAAGATCGCTCATAAAAAGTAATTACACCGACAGGTAGATGAATGTTTCCTCTACGAGCAAGCATTGTTAATTTGGAGAAGTGAGCTTTTATTTGCGAGAAATCGACGGCTAAAGCCATTGTTTACAAAAGCAATTACCCCCTTTTGAAATGTTGGCACTGAATTGGTGAATAAATGATTACGAAGATGATTTTTTTGACATGCTCAGCAGGCAACATTGGTGTTCTTGGTGCGAAGAATGGGACAAACAATCCAGGCTACTATTCCATGAGTGCAAGATGCAGTCGATTAATCAGAAAGTTATCGGCTTCCAAATAAATTAATAACTAATTATCTTGAAGTCTAATCAAAAAGTGGTCTTGAGCAAAGTTGTAGCTAACATAAGAACATAAAGCAAGCTTTTTTGAAAATCATGATAGTGAAGGGTACCCAAGTAACAAGTCAAGCTGAACAGTAAAGGTACCCAAGTAACAAGTCAAGCTGAATAGTAAGAACAGAAGCTGGTTAACACCAGGCTGAATATAAAGTTGATTAGTAGTGAATATAGCGAATTGTATTCCCATAATTCAACCTCAATTTAGCTGAACTAAAGACTGAACAAGGCTTATTCAAGCTTAACACTACTCCACAAATCAGCATTGCGCTTCAAATATTTTGATTCCATGATAGAAGAATATTCTAAGTAAGAATTCAAGCTGAACAGTATCCAAGTAACCATAGGCACGTTATGTCACCTTTTTGGCTATATACAGCTGAACAACGGCTATACCAGTGTTTTCTAGATCTGATGAGGCCCGTACATAGCCAAAAACACGGTCAACACCATTTTGGAAATGAGGGTTCCAAACTGGAGAAGCATATTCCAATTTCGTTCGTATCAGGGAGCAATATAGTGATTTCAGGCAGTAAACATCTTGCAACTTTTTTGTCACCCGAAAAAATAAAGCCAAGGTTTCGTGAGGCTTTCGTGACAAGGTACGACAAATGCAGCTTGAACGTGAGTTTTTCGTCAATAATCACCCCTAAATCTTTAACCTGGTTTTCCCTCTGCAATTGAGTGCCCATCAAGGAATAGCCGAAGGTAAACTGGATCGTCTTTCTCGAAAATGTGACTACAGTACATTTACTGGAATTTAAGAGCATGCAATTCTTACATAACCTTTGAATTGTCTCCAGGACGTCTTGTAGCTCCATAGCATCTTGTAACGATTTCACGTGTCATGTAGATTTTCAGATCATCAGCAAAGGATAAACGATGGGATTTCAGCACCTGGTTGACTTCGTTGATATACAACAGGAAGATCAATGGTCCAAGATGGCTACCTTGAGGAATACCAGACAGAGCGGGGAATGGAACTGACAATTCATCAATAATTTTGGTTCTGATTCTGCTGCCACAGAGATACGATCGGAACCAATGCAGTAGGGAACCACCGATGCCAAGCCGTTCCAACTTTGCTACAGCAATATCGTGGTTGATTCTGTTGAATGCTGCCGATCAACCCATATATATATATATATATATATATATGACGCCAGTTTGCGATCCAGCTGTAAACCCGTCGATGATGGTGTCCTAGAAGGGCGGTCAGCATGAGCATGAACTGCTACTCTGTTATTTCCAGACCAGCTGTTATTACACAGAGAACCAATAGACGATGCTTGGGACTAGAAATCATCCTCAATGTGTAAAAACTGGTGATCTCAAACTAGGCAATACCAGCGCCGGCCGCGCTCGAACACAGGTCAAGAAAGGAAGGGGTAGAATGTTTTGACGTGACACTCGCTTTTATGGAAGCCGAGAACACCTCTGCACTTCCACGAGGAATCAGTGGGATATGGGTAATAGGGTTAGGTTTGCAGCAGGGTTCGTTTTGGTAAACGATAAGCTTAATTGATGTCCTAACAATCATATAACACGAAGGAGCTTTGGATTGAACCCACGGTCTTCAGCTCAGTAAGCAAAAACGTTTGCCACTAGGCAGACAAGTTCCTTTTCAATCATTGAGTTGCTGCTATTACCATGTAGTCATGTTAACAAATAAAACGATTGACGAATCTTGAATGTGGATGGGCTTGAGATTAGACTCATGATGTTCTGCTCAGTAAGCAAAAACAGTTACTCTAAGGCCACCGAGCTCCTCATATCACATTATACCGTTACTCAAGTTGTTATAACTATTCAAACCCGGCACCGATGACAACGAAAAGTTTTAAAAAATGCACGATAAACATACATTACCATACATTTTTAATATGAAAGGACCTGGAACCGCGTTTTTCTGCTCGGTAAGCAAGCCACTGCTACCGACGATCTTTCAAATCCGAAAACTAAAAGCTACGAAAAAGTACTTAGGCCTTCATTAAGTTCCACTTTCACGCGACATTCAATGTTTCGATTTGCTCTTTGCGCATTGTTCAGGCAATCATAACAAGCTATGACCGACGTGACGGTTGTTTAAGCCCTGGTTAAAGAAGCTATTCAAATGGAATTACGTTCTCGAATTTCACATGGTATATAATGAACAACATACACAATAATACATATAGTTTCAACGGTTGATGGTTAATTTTAAATATACTAACGGTACTGCCTACGGCGACTACGACGGTGATTAAGACAGCGACTACGACGGCGCCTACGACAACAACAACAGCAAATTTGTAACTTACCATTTGTCTAGGATATAACACCATGTCTGCTATCTGTCACTTTTTGCAAAAATATCTAATTGCAATTACCTTTATTGTAATACTTCCTGCATTGCCATGGTCGTCTGAGAAGAGGTTCGCGACTAGTGCTTTCCTCAGGAACCGTTCACGGTCACCAGCTACCGCCCGTCCAGTCTTGGACGTATCCAGCGAGCTTGCTCACAATCTCCGACAATGGCGAGAGACCAGCTGACGAGCACTTTTCAAGCCGTAAACTTGCTGATTCACGGCATCGTCGGCCACCGAATCACCACCAAAACTCGCGACGGACACATTATCAGCTCTTTCTCCGGCTAATTTGCCAACCGGATCGTGCTCAAACTCGCACACTCGAGGTGATGATTTACAGCGTTTGAGGAACACGGATGGGATGCCTTCCGGCCCAGTTGTTAAGTTTAGGTGAACTTTTCAGACAACATTCGACAGATGTCAGAAATGGAATCAGCTACATTTCCGTTTCGAGAAATTGAGAATGGTAGACCGTTGTCCATTAGTTGTTCATTAACAAGTCTCCAGAACGCCTTAGGGTTACGCTTTAGTTTAGTCTGCACACCACATTGATAGACCAGAAAGCAGCGACGTGCTAATCGTTTGTATCGATGGTTAAGCATCACGTAATGGTTCCTCAGTGAAATCGACCGGTGCTTCGAAAACCTACGCAAAGCTGCTCCGGTACTTTCCTGGAGGATGAAAGAACTTTCTTTGGGACATGTCGCTCGATCAAGTAGCCCAACACATTTGAAAAACCTGTAGTGGCGATATCAGCGTCATCTGTCCCGAAGATTTCATCCCAGTTGATACCATCAAGGACATTGATAATACCATCATAGTCGGCATTATTGAAGTCATAGTAAGTGGATAGAGGAACTATGGCAGGTTCAGCCAACGCCATTTAGATACTGCTACTAGGACGCCTCCACCGGAAGGCTGTTTAAGGGACTGCGGTCGCATCGAAATACCGTCGCGTAACGGCTGGTCCTCTGGAGTGTGAATTGGAGCTTGAGGTGGGGATAACAATACAAATATTTAAATTTAATTTTTCCTCATGAAGGAAAAGCAGGCCCATAACAAATATTATATATAAAGCGGTCTTCCATGCAATTTTTTAACTAAATCTAGAAGGCTGAACAAGGGTTGAAAAAGACTTTTAAGTATATTGCCTTAAAAAGCTCAACATGTATATAACTTTTAAGCTTTCGGTTGATTAAAATCGCCAGGTTTAGATGTTTAAAAGCTGAACAAAGGTTAACGCGGTCTATGTACAACAATTATTCAAACTAAAACTGAATTG